GGAGCCAAACAATGGCGAATTATCCGAGGCCCAGGCCACGTGGATCGCGTTGGCAAGTCTCGTTCTGCCCTGGAGGAAGAGGTTTCTTCATACGTCGCAGGCCTCGCGTGATTTACGAACAAGTCGTCCGCTCCTCTCCGTTTCCTAATGCAATCCATTCCGCTTCGCCGGCCTCTGGGCGACAGATAGGGTACCGATGTATAAATTACTCTCGGGCCAATTAACATTGTCGCCTCGCGAGGAACGGACTTTGAGTTCCATCGCCGGGGCCATGATTAATTGAGACCTTCTTCAGCGACTCTACGTGGCGTTATCTGGAAACTCCACGGCTACTCGCGAGAAACCGTTGCACCTCGAGGAATTAATTCCGAGCTGGCTAGTTTTTCGTTGTTTGTTCACTGGACGTTGCCACTCGTCACAGTTGGCTTACCGTTTCGAGAAGCCTTCTCCTCAGCCAGGAAGCGAGAAAGCTTTGGCCCCGTTGAATGGACGAGCTTTTGACAGGGGATGATAGGAATAGGTTAGGTTAGGTTTGTGCGACTTTCGGGTGCGATAACTTTGAGGAATTCAGTAACCTTGTGTCATATTTGTATTTTCATTCAGAATGTAGAAAAGCATTCGTTGATGCGGAAAAGAAAAGCGTAACTATTTCCACTTCTAGAGACATGGTGGGTGCCCAGTCAATGGGGGCCTAGTTTATGTCTTTTCGACCAGGGTTCCATGACTCGTGAACACGCAGAGCTTTTCCAAGACAAGACACCGTGTCTTCTGTACCAGGACTCGCTTAAATGAAACTCTTCTATTAGCACGAAATAGTGCCTTGATTTCTTAAATATCCACAACATCCCTTCAAGGATCTAATTATCATGAGCAATTTAACAAAATTACAGAGAAGTCAAATTGTTTCCAAGTCTATAGAAAAATAAGATGTACTACTTGTATATCGTCACTAGATCGTTTTTGTTTGACGACGATTAGTGACGTACAGTTCTTTGAGGAGATTGTGTTTGCCTAGACATAGCTGCATAACTGATTCTTCATAAGACAGATAAAACTATGAATTTTAATAGTCACGTTAAACCCCCGTTACCTGTCCAGTTTCGTATTTCAATCCGCGCGACGCGGGACTTAAATCTTCAAAACACATTGGTCGACGAGACACGCGTATTTACCTCGCAGGTTCAGGAAGCACAGAGCCTCCACGTCGAGCTTATCCCAGGCGACACGGTGAAAAGATGATGCCGGTGTACGCAACACCGGCAGCTTCTCTCGGCGTGCGCGATTACACGATATTTCATTGTCTCGTCGAGCATTGTTGCGCAATTATCCACGGTCGTACACCCTTTTAGCGAGAGTGGTTGCGTAACGCCGTGCACGGTTACCGGGTATAGCCATTTATAAACCCCCAGTTGCGGTCGCATTGACGATCGGTAACTTCTCGTTACCGCGACTACCGCCGGTCTACGAGCGGCCATTTCTTAACGGGTTTCCGTACACAGCAGCGGTGCCTGCACTTGTGTCGCGTACACGCGCGTCTCCCAGCCACGGTTCCGGCGGAGAGGTGATTTAGCGGCGCCGCGACGTGGTCGTGTAGCGTACTGCCGTGGATCGCGTCGATTTCACGTGTCACGGGCTGTATTATCGGCCTCGGAAGGAAGGCATGCCGTAAGCGATCCAGCACCGACGCTCGTTACTCTGCAGCGAGCCAAGGGTGACGTTTTAATCGAAGTTGTCAGTAGTTCGACGGCGAGACGGTAGTTTCGGGAAAGGGGAAAGCGTTCCGCGGAGTACGCCGATGGAGCCGCGGCGCGCCGCGCACGCGCGGAGGGAGAGCTGCGCGCACACGGTGCGCGGTGTGTCAGTGACGCGTACTCCGCCGACGGGACATGTCTCATGCGCAGGTTGCACGCGTTATATCACGTACTATGGGGCGGAGAAGGAAGATTCCGCGTCTTTTCTTCGCGCGAGATCGAAAGCGTTAAATGTCTACCACCTGCAGCTTCGACTAATGGGATAAACAGGGAGTATAAAATCGCGGGTAGAGAATGGGAGATGAAACGGAGGATCGAACAATTCGATCGGGAAGTCGGGTCGCGAGGCGCTTAGGGAGAAAGGGTATTCAACTGCATCGTAATCGTTCTCTTCTCACAATGAACAACTGGCAGGACCGTTTAATATTCCTTAGCGATTTTTCCGAGCCAGGCACGTCGGGGCAAGGAGGACGATGCTCGAACTGAACTTTCCCTCTTGATGGGTTCGGCGAAGAAGGGAACCGACCGAGAAGACACGCGCTTTGAATGAGCTGCTCGCCTCGAAAGATTAGCTTCGACTCGCTCCCACGCCTCATCTCGCTATCGCGTCATCGCGGAGATTCAATCTCTCCGCTTCCAGACTCCTCGAACGATAAAAGCAGCTGGGCCCGCTGTCGATCCGCGCTCGCTGGGCCCCGCTCGCCGTGAAAACATGCAAACTCTGTTAGCTAGACTTATTAAGGAAGAGATATTCGCCGCTCGTTTCCGCGTTTACATCGAGTACCGCGCGCTTCCCGCGGACCGGCAGAATTCATGTCCTCGCGGACGAGCTTATCGATTCAGTCGCAGAGGGCGCTTAAATCAGGCGAAATATGAACGGAACCGGGAGATAAACACCTGATCTATTCGCGCCGCGTCGGTGAGCGATGATGACGTTAAATGCGATACTCGGGCCCTCGTTTTTCAGCTTCCTTGCAGCGTGCGGGTAAGACGACCGAGGGTCGTCTTTCGACTGCAAAGGGTTAACAATCGGAATTAACTCCTTCGCCTAGAATATCGTGCGAGACTCGTGGTAAGGTAATCGGGTCGAACATGAGTATCACGTGTGAGAGACGTGAGTTGTAGATATGACATAAATCGGTGCCGATTCTTAACAGCTTGATTCACGACCTTGCTATATCGTAGCCCAGACTATACTTGATTCGCAAAAGGGTGAATTTGACGTGCAAAACCTGTGAACCTCTTTCCGAAAACTACATTTCCCCAAAAGTTGGCAGGAACCGAACGGTATATCACGTCCCGTAAGCGCATCGATAAGCAGCGCGATCCCTGAGAGCGAGGGATGAGGTTTCACGGGACGATCCGGCCGAGGCGTAATCTGTTGCTCGCGTGCGAAGAGGACGGTGAACCAGCGCGGTCCCGGGATGCACGGGTTCGTAAGTCAGCGCCGCGTGACTCACGTTCACGTAGGATCCCGGGGTTCGTTGTATTTCAGAAAGCAGGAAAGCAGGAAGTCGGCGCGCATTATGAAATCGGAGATATTACGCGAGGAAGTTGTATTCACCGTGATCTTATGGGCACGGTCCGGCAAAGGTGGTGCTGAAGCGTAGCGTAAAATATCATCGTTATGCACCGCTCGAGGTTAATATTAGCCGCGGCGGCGCCGTCCGCGATATTTACTATAAGCCCCATTGTTTTATGCGGCGCTGAACGCCGTCGGACAGCCGCTGATACAGTTGTACGCTCGGCGCACCTCCGCGCCGGCTACCTACTGCGGAACTCCGCTCTTGCGAAATGCAATTGAATGACCGCTCGCCGCCACGCTCTTTGCGCTCGCCTTCCATCCGCCTCGCCTTTTTAACGCCGGCCCAGCTCCCGATTTTCCCATCGTAGATCAACGCGGAATTAATCCGCTCCTGGCCGCTTGCGAAACGCCTCCGCGTCCCGCCGATCCTACGCGACTCTTTGCCTTGTCTCCGTCGTTTCGCCGAGAAAATCCCGGTTGGAGGTACGCAACGGTCGTTACTTATGAGCTAAGTGACCTAGGAGTAATAGTCACGAGTGGAGAATGTGATGACATCGTTCTGAATCGAGGACTATCGGAGAGTGATTGATAATTGATCCTTCGAACGATCGAAGCGTGGAGAGCTTTCAGAGAAACGCGACGGTGCGCTCGGAGGCTCGAGCGTAACTCAGTCGCGCCATCTGGTGCGTACTGGCGGAACCACAGCCGAGCGCCACCGCGCGATACTCGTGCATAAGGTTTTAGGAGACATCGATCGTCTCGCGAGAGTACCTGCGAACTTTGCTACGCGAGATGATCGATTGCTCGGAGAGTTCATCCCTGATGGCTAGGTTAGCCTGACAAATGTGTCCATTTAGACAAGCAAAGTAACAAAAGTCGAAGTCGTAAGAGCTCTAAGAGATAGAAACTTGGGTAATCAGCTTAGTGGATCAAGACACTAAATCAGGTCTTCCGTTTCCTAGCCCACCACTCTAATCTAAGCAGATTCTTTCCCTGCACTCAATATCCCAAATAGCTGCTTCCAGCGACTTAGCAGTCTCGACAAATAGGAATCCACTCCGGGAAATTGTAGGCAATCATAAGCCAAAGGAATGGAGAGATTTATCATCTCGGAAGGCATATTTCAAACCCGATTTTTCCTCGTTCTTCCATTCAACCTAACCTCCCTAGTCTGTTGAAGGGGTGGCGTGGGTACAATGAACGAGGACTATGTTGGCGTCGAATATTTGGTTTTATTATCATGCCTATTCTGATGGAACCGATTCGGCGTAATACCCACTGCGATTGTTCTGGGTTGATTTTTCTGTATAGTCCTCTTTCTGACGCCCTCTTTTGGGGTAAACCATTTTTGCCTCTCCTAGGGGATGAAAGACTCAATTTTCAAATGCGTAATGAAAATTTGTGCAGGTGTTATAAAGGGCCTTGTGGTTGCTATGATACTACCGGTTGATATGGTACTGATGGCCACTTTGCTATGATAGGTAGCAGAGGTAAAAGGACGCAAGGAAGGGATGCGTTTAGTCCTGGGCCTGCTAGTGGACTCATCAGTATGGCTTTCTAGCAGGCCCTGTTTTAGATGGGGGATACCAGAATAGGAACTTGTATTTATGGGAGTCCAGTAGAATCTCACCGAGGACTTGCGAAAAACATCGAACCTCCATTTTCTATCTAGCGATGAGGGTGTGAACGTTGGTCGCTACATTTATAATTTTCTGTTGTCACAGGTAATACCGGCCGAGCGTCGAGGGCCAGAAAGAGAAGAGACCTGGACCCTAGCCCCGGACCACCATGACCCATGCTCGTTCTTCGACGACATCTCGGATATCAAACAGTCGAAACCAGTCCACGATGCAGACAGCGTGCAATCTCGGATCACGGTGGACGAATCGAGCGAGGTCCCCGAGTCTGGGACCCTGCCCCGAAGCCAGGAGACCAGGAAGAGCAAGACGAAGAAGGTGAAGAGCTACCTGAGGAAGTGCAAGGGTGCTCTCTCCAAGAGCGACGAGGCTTCCTCCGACAAGAAGCGCCATGAGCACTGCACTTCTTGGTACCTGGACGAGTCTCACCAAGAGGACATGGAAGTCCTTTTTCAGAAACAGTCTGAGTTTCTAGACGAAAGGATCGTGGAGGCCGAAGAGGCCTCCATCTTGATCCCGGATGAGACTTCGGAGGACATAGCAAACCTCCCAGGCGACCCTCCAACGAACCTTGCGAAGGACGATGGTGATCAAACAGGGTACGAAATTCTCTCGAAACTAGCCGAGGATGACCAAAGAGGTGACCTAAGAAGAAGTCGGACGTCCCTGTATGAGGATGCCAGAGACTCCATGAACGACAGAGACTGCGCAGTGGAGGAGACCAGCTGCGCGGCCATTAAGCCGGAGAGGAACGACGCTGTCTCTCTAGAGACGCTGACCACGGAGGACACGAATCTGAACAAGTGCGACTCGAACGACACTCTGATAGCGGAAGTGGTGGTGACCGGTGCCGATGGTCCGCCCCTGGTCGACGTGGATGAGGGAAAGGAGGAAGAGACGCGCGACCAGGAGTTGGACGGCGAAACACTGCGGGCTTTGTCGCTGGTCGGGGTGAGTAGAGCATTGGATTATACTCTTTGTTTACTCGTTCGTGCCGTGGTCGTTGGACAAACACAGGAATCACTCATAACGCGAGATTTCGCCCGATACCGGGGCCGATAGCATCGATTCGAGACGGCCGTATCGGGTCTAACGGTACTGACGGTCCGATGCACGGAAAAGGAGCGTGCAGCGCCCATTTGAATACAAACCGCAAACGGCTGCGCGCGCACACTCTCGCTCGCGTGCAGAGCGGCAGAGCAAATTGCAACACACAGAGAGGCGGCCGCGAGTCGGCCCCTGCGCCCGGTAATTTATGCCCCCGCTCTTAATGCACTTGTACCGATGATTAAAACGTAATTTCCACGGATACGGGTAAACGTGCACGGCCTTTTTCACCCGGTTCATGATTTACGACGCCCAGTAGAACCATAGCCCCGTGATTTACGTCGGGCCACTGTTGTCGTGGGATACACGTGTTGCGCGATTGTACGCCGCTTCGGCTCGACTCGGGTGTCTTCGTGCCTCGTCGGCTAGACTCGGCCGACGCTGCGTACCGTCGGGCGGACTCGGGCTGCCGAGTGCGTGCTAACGAAATTCGGCGGTTAGACGAACGGGGTGATCGGAATCATGTGTGTCGTTTGCAACTTGAAATGTGAGTTATCAGTTGAATGTGCAATGTGAATTGTGATATTCGAGTCGATTAACGCTGGAACTGCAGATTCGTAACGTATAATTAAATATTACCGTATGCAGTTGATCTTGTGTAATAGAAATGAGACGAGGGTCAGGATAGAGAGGTTAACGTTGTCGAAAGCAACTGCTCGTATTTATTGATAGAGAATGTCAGATATTTGATTAGTTTAGTAGTTTTCGTGTTACAAAATTGAAGTATATATATGGATATTGCTATAAAGTCAACGGATGGCTCTGATTAATTTCGATATTCCAATCTCAGTAATACTCGTATTTCGTTTTCGGTTACTCGGAAGGAACCGTTTCGTTAGTTCACCGCGTCAACAATAGGTGTCGCTAGTTACATTAAGCGGGAGATTAGAACTGCCTAACAGCTATCTATATCGTGTCTATCGTGTTTGACGTGTAGTAAGAATAGAAGGAAAAGAACAAAATTTGAATAATTTTATTATTATTATTAATAATATAATTAAAATTATATTATTACTAACAATATAAGTACAGAGAAAGGATAAAAATTTTGTGTACACTGATTTTATATTATATAGGTATATTGACGTATTCTTACCTTTCGCGTCTTAAAACGGATTTACAATTGTCGATTCATCCATAGTGAACGTGAAGGATGAACTGCGAAGTATTTACTAGTATTTACTGGTTGAATTTATTTTGCTGGTTCTCAAAATGTCAACGACTGGTATAACGAATGTCGGTTTATTATCTCAACGACTGTTCACTTGTTACTATGACAAGCTTATATTTGTCACTGTCGCTTTATTATGATATCGAATCGTCCGTTCGATTCATGGGAAGTAGACTGTCTCTCCTTTATATTCCACCCCACGTTCAATTATATTTGATTGACATTAAGTTTCAATAATTATTATTCATCCAATTCCTTAGAAAAAATATCAAACCTAAACCCATGAATCTCTTTCCAAAATGACTCAAAAAGATTCACGGTCCTCAAAAATTCAAAAACTCCCAATTTTTCAAATTTAAAAATTATATTTCAACCCATCCCTAATTATTCTCCTATCATTAAGTCGCAATAATTATTATTCACGCGATTCTTCAAACCAAGCCTCACGAAACCTTTTCCAAAATGGTACACGAACACGTATTTCGAATTTTGAAATTCCAGCCCCAATTACTCGCCTGTCATTAAGTCGCATGTTCGCGATAATTCCAGCAACAATTATTATCCGTGCAATTTCTCAGGGCAAGATATCTCGCTGTCCGTATTTCGCCCGAAAACCCACGGGACTTCCTCGAGAACGATACGAGGAGACTTACACCTCGTTATCGTCGAATTTACAAGTATCACGCGATCCTTGTCTCTCCACGTGAAATTCGCGTAGGCGTAACGCGACGGAGATCGCCGTGAATTTGTCTCGGTTTATCGATCGTGGCTTATCGATGACAGTCGGCGCGGCTACATGACTTGGCGGGATTCGAGCTCATACGGCGCTGGTGCGCCCGAGTCAGACGACGCTTGACAAACGGCGACGCCAGGCGTTCCGCGACGCCTGTGCCGAAAGGCGCGGTGCGCCGCATTCCCCGTTGCAGTAATGTCGCGCGCCACATGCTGTGCTCGTGGATATGGGAAAGCGATCGCAACGTGCGCAGCAGAACACGCGTCTTGCACGCCAGCAGACGCCATGTAACTACTGTAACCGAAATAACTATAGTAATCGAAGCTTGGACCAAGTTTCCCTATTTTCTGTAATTCTCCTGCTTTTCCAATTTAGGATATTAACTATCTTTTCTTGGTCATTGTGTCTTCCTCAAAATTCCAAGTTTTACTTGAAATTCTATAGTATCCAAGCCACGTAATCGATTTCTCGTGTAATTGTTATTAACGATGAGAGTTGACTGATAAGATCGTGAGAAGATTGATTGCAGGATCTGTTTCGTCTTTTTGACTTGGACTCTGTTTTCTGGACACCTTGTATGTAGGATCGGTGTGCGTGTAAAAATGGATTAAACGTTTGCTGCGTATATTGGAGATGGAATAAAGATTAGCCTAGTAGATGTGAAGTTGGATTGATGATGTGACTAGCTAGTTCTGACATGATCTGATCCGATTTTATCTGATCTGTGCTTGCTCGCAGATTGTCTCGACGAATATTTCTGCGACGTTGTTTGAGAAACATGGAAACTTACTTGAGAACCACTGATGGGAGTATTGGATCGCGGCAGAAATTTTCTAGGTTAGTATGGAAGATAGTCACAGGTGTCTGTTCAACGTTTGGGTATGAGTAGTGAAGGCATTAATCTCCCAATTCTCGTAAGCATCGTTACAAGTTGCTTTTGAACTCTAGCCTAGTCTAGTCTACTCTAGGAACTCGAGGAATCTTGTTTAAGAAACCCTACAATTAAAAAATGGCGACTGCTCGACACCTCAGTATAGGTAGCCTATCCCTCAGTCGTCTAAAGCCTATAGCAATCTTAGAGATTCGTCCAACAGTTAAAAATATCATGGATAATGATTGCTGAAAACATAGGAAACACTTCCTAAACTCAGTTTTTCGTAATTTTTCCACGAGAAAAATTCCAATCCTTATAGAAAATACAAAGGAAGCAGAAATTTTCTAAATTAGGGATTGATGATAGCCACAGGTGACTGTCCAACGTTTGGCTATGTGCAACCAAGGTATTAGTCTCCCAATTCTCATGAGTACCTTTACAAATTCCTTTTGAACTCTAGCCTAGTCTAGTGTCCTCTAAAAATTCAAAAAATCTCGTTCGAGAAACTCTAGAATTAAAAAATGGTGACTGTTTGACACATTCTTGACTGTCAATACAGGTAGCCGATCCCTCAGTCTTCTAAAGCGCGTAGCAATCATAGAGATTCGTCCAATAGCTGAGGAAATGACAGAGAATGATTGGCAAAAACGTAGGGAACGCTTTCTTTCTAAACTCTGGTCAGAATTTTTCCCGAAGAAAGATTCCAACCCTCCCAGACAATACGCGTCATTTTAAAAGCCACGTCGCTTTCACCCAGGAAACAATCACCATCGATACACACAATACTCCCCGTGTCTGTCGGAATCGTTTCGTCGATCGTTCTTTTACATTCTTTTATGGCAACAGGAACACACTAGGTGGGCAGAGACACGGTATTCCTTGCTATGCAAATTGACCGATAATTGATAGGGAATAATAGCGTGGATCGGGCGGTGCTTCGATTACTAGACATCGAACCTGACTTGTTTTTATGAAGCCTTCTTGTGGCGCCTCTCACCTATATACCCACATAGCGTCTCTACGCCACGGCTACCCTGGTCTATGATTGACGACGGGTTGGACCAGGTTGGACTGGGTCGAAGGACTCGTTCTCGTGCTACGTGTACGGGAATTACAGCTTGTCCTCATTAATTGTGCTGAACGTGACCTATCTGGACCACAGTGAGTCGTGGGTTCTGGTTCAGGTATCATCGAGTGCACCCCAGAAGTGTCCATTGATGATCGAACGCGGTGTTCGAGGATTCTCCATGAGACAATCGTGGTCAAGATGGCTGCTGATTATCGTTTATGGGACTAATTGATCCAATTTGGAAATCTGACAAGACGAGAATCTTTAATCGCGTTCATTTTCGTGATTCTGAAAGAGGGATGGAGGAAAATGAAGGAACAGGATGAGGTTCATCTATTATAGACTTAAATCAGTTCAGTTTCTTTTATTGGCAGGCAGGTTTTATTAGCATCGTTTTTGTCTTAAGACTGGAGCAAACTGTCTTAATACCTTGACTGATTGAATAATTTTGTATTTACCAAGGCATAGTGTGTTTTAACCTAATAATTTGATCGTCTGGCGAATTTTATATATACCTTGGTTACAGCAAGTAGTCAGTTCACGGAACATTGTAAATTGAGCTACATGCATATGGTTCATACTAGAAAATCAAATTGTTTCATTATTTAACACTATGTTCAGTCTTCTACTTCATCCTCCAATTTAGACATCTAAATTAAATCTGTCATCCTCTGCCTTTGATGTACCCAGTTTAGCCAGTCGTTCAGTTAATGTTCGAATCTAACTGACTACAAGGACCTTCATCCACAGCTATATGTTGGATAACTTATTAGAAGAACCTTCATCTACAGTTACACCTGTCAAACCTCCTAACAGGATTTCTGACCATAACCAAAAATTTATGACCATAACCAAATCTTTCAAAAGCTCTTTCATCTACAGTTCCACGTTCAGACAACCTATCAAAAGAATCTTCATCCATAGTCACACGCTCAGTTAAACCTTCTAACGGGACCTCTAACTATAACCAAAAATTTAGCCAAATCTTCTAAAAGGA